TGAAATGCATTTCATGACATTTAACTGCTGCAAAAAATTCTAAGTTTAATTTTTTTTTCTTACTCATCCATAAATGTTTTACAACAGGAAAAGCATTTCTTCTGACATTACCGGCATTCCAAGCATTGATCTTCTTGAAGCCTTGGTGAACTGTATGGTTTGGCAGTTTGTCATCATCCCTGCACTGTTGGTGCAAATGGAAATGCCATGGATGGAGTCTTTATCTAAAAAATAAAAAAAAGTTAAATACTCAATTACAAACGCCGCATTATGGACTTATCTGTTTAAAAGACATGGCTTGGGAAAAGTCATAAAAAAAGAAGCTTGTGATAAGTAATTGTATAACCCAAATTGGGGGTTTTCCCGTCTCGTGCCCGAACAGGGAAGAACTTTGCACATTGCCTGATAAACAAACAAGGATATAATGCATCTGCTGGCACTTTATAAAGGAACCAGACCAGAATGTTTATTCAATCTGCTTCATCGGGAAAATGAAAAAGGCAATTTGGGCTGTTGCGGGTGCAAAGTTTTTTGATCTTTGAGCACAGTGGGTTTCCTTGGTGAGATGTCTCTTCCTGCCCTGTATTCAAGATTATATAACATGACTCATTTTATACACACTTGACTACACTTCAATAATTGCTCTCAAAACTTCCTTCTAAAATGATATGCTCTAAACAGGTCTTTGCAAAGTGCAAAGAGTGTATACTGGCAAAGCTGTATGCTTTGTTGGCGAAGCATGGTGTAACCTTACAGCTCTGCATTAGGTTAGAAGTCTATCATAACAGCTGCTGATAGAAATTCAAGCGCACCTCTTTATTTGTTTAAGATGAACAAAATAAATACCACATGCGAGGTAAGTTAGCAGTCATCAGGACTTGATAGTCAAAAGCTATTTTACTTTTTCCTCCATTAATTGCAATTGTATGCATGTGGCTTCCTAGTAATATTACCAAACCATCTAAAAAAATAACATTAAAAACGCATAAAATGAATCAGGAAAGATTCACCAACGTGAAAGAGTTCTGCAGCAGGATCAAAACTTAAAGGCAGAGTGGAGGATTTTCGCAACTTTTTGAAAAGACCCACCCTCTTAACTTTAGAAGAGAAAATGCACATGCACAACTCTGTACCCACTCTTGAGAGGGAACGCCCATTAAAAATGAGTGGAGAGCGTGCACAATCCCATTTCTCCTCGTGCACGTTCTGTTTAAAAGTTGCAGTTTGCATCACTCATACAAGCTTACTTTCCAAAAGAAGAATTGTCCACTGTATCAGACTCACCACAGGTAAGTGAAAATAGGGACGAGCACGTAGGACGGCCTTACATAAACATATCACCAGAATGATTGACAATTAGGAGGACCACTTATTATGATGATCCACCCGGTAAAAGAACATCCTCCATTATACCTTTACTGTAAAATAAATAAGCTTCAGTTGCAGCCCATCACTTGAAGAGCACACCATCAAAGCTTGCAAAAGTAACATACTTCTATTAGAAAAACTATGTGTAGCATTGGTTGAAGGCACAACTACAGAATCAAGAAATCCTCATAACAGAACCTGAGGTAGGTGAAAAACTTGAAAAGGGAACACACCATCCACTGATGGTAAGAAATTCAAGAGCAAAAGAGAAACAAGGTCTTCGGCTTCTATCAACACATTTTCTCATGCTTCAGGAGACCGGAGAATAATGGTGAGAGCAGCTATGAAGATAAAATGAAATAGAGGTGACCCTTCCCAGGAAAAGCATGCCTACCCACAAATATCTCATAAGCTCATCATGAACTCATTCAGGTGATCACAGAAGAACATCTAAAGCACAATAGGCCTTAAAAAATGCAGTTTGTGTTTACACAAGGTGTCTTTGCTTGTTTTCTAATTTGTTGATACTATTGAGAAACCCACAAGTGTCTTCTGAAGAACTTTAGCAAAATTAGGAAAATCCCACTATGATACAGTATATGTCTCTTTAAAGGTCGTATTAGGTTGAGTGAATTACAACTTTTGGCTTTGGATGATATTTATTTTAGTAGGGTAAGGACTTCAAAAGGTTATGTAAAATAATGGAACTTTATATACAAATAGTCTCTCTCTTAGATTAATGTGTTTGAGTAAATTGACATTGTTGCATTCATATCGACTTATAAGCTAAATATTTTTTCTTTGGAAGTCTCCTTTCTCGCTCATGTTATAACATGTCAATGGCGTGGGGTAGGCACGTAGACTGTACTGTTGACTCAAACTTATCCCTAGGGTATAAGTAAGGCCGTGCTTGCTTTCATGTTTATTGATGTTTTCCCTGAAATATATTTGCATTTTTGAATCCAGGTAGACTAAATTTAGAGCAGTTTTATCTATGATGACTTTACATTACATTTCATTGCCTCCTCGTTTATCTTAATATCACCAGGAAGTGACCCTCGGGATAGAGGAAACAAAGCCGAGGGTTTTTACCATCTTTGTTTTATGAACGCGTACCAGAAATGGGATTTAATAAGCATTTCCTGTTTTTTTCATTACTAATCTTTATATTGTGTTAGACCTACATACTGATCCAAAGACAACAATGAGATATTATCTGGATGGAGGAAGAGAAAATATTATGTTTTGAAGTAAAGGTGCCTTGTAGGAATATTGCAAACATTGTTGCCCTGAGTCAGTGTTGACTGGAACCACCTTTTAATCCCCAGTTTACCTTTAAAGCTTGTTGAGGTGATCTCTATAATGACATGCATCTGCAAACATAAATGTCAGTCTGTCTTTCACAGATTCTGCATAGCATCTAGGCATGGACTTTTACTGGTCCATTCTAACGTGTAAAGCATTGCTGGACTCTACTTTGATCGAAACGATTCCATTATAGATTGCCAATGTGTTTGGGGTTCCTGTTCTACAGGAAGGTGAACACCACCTAAATCCCAAATATCATACAGCCTCTACCAGTTCTTGATTCTGGATTGTCAGGTATTTAGTATTTAGCGCCATCCACCTGCCAGGAAACGAAGACCGGGTTTCCGCTCCCTGTTCGAGAAGTATTTTCTACAGCCTGATACTGCCACCACCAGGTTTCAGTTCTACTTGCTTTATTAAGAAAAAGAAAATTAAATGTCGTTTTAACTCACATGCAGGGGAAGCTTAAACAGGTTGCTGTAGATGTTGGAGGCTGTAGGCATGGAGGAATCTCCTGTAGTGGTCTCACAAGCCTCTGACTAAAAGCACTGTTGCTGTTAGTGCGAAGTAGAGTATCTTGGGCTTGTCTATAATGCGTGATAAATTCAACTGAGCTAAATTCAAGAGTTTATATTCTCAACAACAGCCTTTTAGAAGACATGCATCCTCTTGTTATGAACAACTGAGGAACTTAGCCTCCTAAAGAAAACAAAAATGTTCCCTAATTGCAGACAGCTTTACAGTTGCATCTTCAGACCAGTCTGTTATCCATGTAGAAGTTATATCCAGTGGACAACAGCCATGTGCTTATTGCCTCAGCCATATACTGAAGTGGTTGCTTGTTTGCAGACACCATCTTAACCTGGAGCCTCATTGTGGTTTAGTCTATCCAGCTGATTTTACCTTATTCAGCATCTGTTGTTTAACAGTAGTTAAGGGTATTTCTTCCTTAAATATTAATGCTAAAAAATGTGTTCACTTCATTTGCATATAAGCATAAGCATGGGATCCATTTCATCCCTGACCACACACAGTAATACTTTTCTGCCGGAGCACTGGTCTGGACCGTCTTACTGTATGCTTGCTACCCGTCTCTAATGTTGACTTGAAGATGTTTCTCTATACTCATTAATAATTCCCTCTCCTGTTTTATTCTTGTCCCTTATATTTGTGGTAATCCAAGCTTTTTTACTCTCGTGTTTTTTTTTTTTTTACATCTCACGGTTCTGGTGGTGATATCGGCTTCTACAACAAGATTTGTCTAATCAGTCCCACACTCATTCATGGCATTGATGTCCTTTACCTATGGCTGGAATAGTGCCTAAAATAATCACACAAGGCTATTTCAGCATTCTATGACCATTTTCTCATGATTCTCTTTAATGTAGGTTGTCTCTGAAAAAGGGACTTACAGTCTGAGGGAAAGAAACAACATTTTGACCTGATTTGCAAGAGGAGGTCTTGCTTTAGAAATATATAGGACACTTGTCCTAACTTTGTTTTTCTGATAGAGCACCTGAAAAAGTGTTTTAAAGTTGGAAGTATACAGAGTGGAAGATGTGCTTTGCACATGCCAAGTGAACCGCCAGGCCAAATGCATTTGCCCGGCCAAATTAGCACAAGCGCTGATAGTGAAAGATAAATGGCTGCCAAAATAACACTGATACACTCTCTAGGTCAGGGATGTCAAACTGGTTCCAGAAAGGCCCGTGTGGCTGCAGGTTTTCTTTCCAACCAAGCGATAGCACACCAGATTCCAGTCATCTAATCAAGTGAGTAAGTCAACATGGTGACATGATGACAGTCTGGTGTGCTATTGCTTGGTTGGAAAGAAAACTTGCAGCCACATGGCCCTTTCTGGAACTACCGTAGTTTGACATCCCGTTCTAGGTCAATAATATGGACCCAAACTTACTGCTGACAGTTCAATATCTGAGCATGTATTGTTTGCAAGCACTGCTAACCCACATCCTTTGGTTTTGCCACTATCCTTTACGTCTCTTTCTGGTCGTATGGCTAGAAAGCCCAGCAAATGGATACTGGAATATTGGATATGATCCTGCAGCCTTGTTTTGGTGAAAGCCATAATATTTTCCCTCCTTATACTCTAGCTGAGTCGTTGCTAAGGATTGGAGTTCATCTAACTTTTTTTTTCCTAAAAGTCTTGCATTGCAGATATTTAGTGATGTGAGGGGTGAATTTTCCGAATGTTCTTCTTTACTCTCTTCAGCATCTTTACCACCTCTAATTCAACTTATTTGTCATAAGGGATGTAGCTGTAGTGTTACTTCAGTTTTTAAGATATTAAAGAGCGGCTTCCTGTTGTTAAAATAAAAACAGCTTTCTTTGGTTATGCATTGTAACAAGTGTCCAGAAATATGATTTCAGTAAGAATGGCGACAGTGGTGTCAGGTGCAGGAGTTTGTCCTTCAATTGGAGGGTTATCGGTTCAAGCCCCGGCTCTCGCTTTTAGTGTTGTTGTGTCCTTGGGCAAGACACTTCACCTGCATTGCCTACTGATGGTGGTTAGAGGACCCGTTGGCACCAGTGTACAAAAGCCTCACTTCTGTCAGTGAGCCCCAGGGCAGCTGTGGCTACAATGTAGCTCCCCACCATCATTGTGTGAGTGAATGAATGACTGACTGATTGAAGTGTAAAGCGCTTTGGCCAAGTCCTCTGACTTGAAAAAGAAATATATAAGTACAGGCCATTTACCGTTTAAAATATTTCTACCTCCAAAGCATCACATTTCAGAACTGAAACTTTGAGGAACTAAAGTTTGTTTTTTAAAAGACTATATCAGACGCAAACTAACTTGAGGAGTGCAATTCTAGATTTTTTTATATAGACCAAACAGCTAAACTCTCGTCTTATTTCATGAGAACACCTTCTTCCAATTTTTTTTTTTTTTTGCAAACTACCAAACATATTTCTTATTGATTTCTGTCAGCTATGTTTTTTGCTGGGTTTCCATAAAGGACTAAATAGTAGAGACCATATGGGATACTTTTCATTTAGAATGGTGTAATTCAACTGAGCTTTTAATCTCTGCAGCTCTTCTAATCAATGGTCACCCTCCCCTGCCTCTCGGCTCAGGATGATGACCATACATAGACATGTTTCCAGCCGTGCGATACAAGCTGGTTACACTTGTCCTTATTTAGGGGTATGAGAATAAAAGGTGGTGAATTTAAATTTACTCCACATTATTCGGATTATTTCATTCTCTCTTTAGAATTATGGAATGAATGGGGTTGGCATATCTTAATTAATTACATTAATTTTTTGTTTGTAACGTTTCAGAATCTCGAGAACTTCAATCACTTTTGCATTGCATAGTGCAAAGAAAATTGATAAATGGTTCGAAAACATAATAACACCATTGAAGAAAATGAATGCAGATGTTTACATAAAACCCTAATGGTTTCAATTCACCACTACCTACCCATAAGTTGCACAACTGTCCGGATTCTCAGGTAGAGCCCGCACTTTTGCTTCTGCTCACACCTCATGACCGTGGAGATGCTAGCATTGTGGAGCAGGGTAGCGCTGTTGAGACGCTTGGTGGGGTCCTGACACACATCAGCAAACCAATCTGTTTAAAACAGGGACAAAGGACACCGGGGGTCACACGTTAAGACAGCAATTAGCATACAGTTTAGCTCTAAATTAAACTTTTGTGCCTGTTAAGTGACCTCCTCATTATTGGGCTCTAGATTAATATAACAAATAACCCTATTTCCTGCACTACTAAGTAATTTCTGTTATTTTTATTGGTTCTCATTCAAGAGAAATTAGTAGTATTGTTAGGGTCTAGTCTAATTAAAAATGCTTGAAGCAGTTCTATAATGTTTCGATAATTTTTTTAGAACGTTTTGTCTCATTCCAAGTCAGTTTTCATACTCACACTCTCGACTGGTCTTGCAGCCAAGTCCCTGCAAGAAGAAAAGGACAGGGAGATGATCAGGTGAAACACTTAGTCATTAATATTATGAGTAATAGTGCTATTAGATTTCAAACCCGGAATGTGATAAAGACAAAAAGATTCCTCAGAAAGGGTTTTCTACATCCTGATCCCAATATGATATCTATAGGTGCACCACTCTCAGTAAATCTAAGCAGGAAGATAATTTGATATACTTGCATGGTGTTAATGCTTTAGGGTTAGGGATATTAACTTCTGTTTTTTCATAATACAGCTACAACCTACATCACTGACCTCATACAACAATAACCTCCCACATTCAGGAAATCTACCTCTTGGTTTCAGTTCTTGTTGCAGTTATTGTTTGTGCAATTATCGCAACTTAAAGGTCAGGAAAGTGCCTCAGGGTTTTGCTCATTTTGAAATTGAATTAATTCCTGTAGGTTTGCAAGAGTGGATGCGTTTTTGTTTATGTTTTATGTGGTAGGCTTTAAATCATTGAAGGGGTGGATTGGTAAGTGGTATTAAGGAAGCGTTTTTGATTTGATTTGTTTACTTAATGATGTCTCCCATCGGCATCCAGGAAATCAGAACAAAGAAAAAGTCTGATATGTGGGAATGCAGTAAATGAACTGGCTCTAAGTGTATTTCTGTCATTGGTACTTCATCCTGCCACTGACAGGGAGACAAGAGGGTCAGATATCTGGGGCTCTTGGTTTAGGGGGCGAGAACTAAGCCCTAAAACCATCAAATTAATGTCAAGAACGCTTTTTTTAATCATCTTTTTATATACCGGTACACCTAATATTTAAGACACATGAAATTCTTTCTCTTTTGTTTTGGCAGTAGTCAGGGGCCTCACACAGATTTTTTATTAATCTACCTAACTAAAATATAAAGTGCATGGTACACTAAAGGCACTGAGGAAAACACCAAGCCTCAATCTATCTGCATTTTTTAGTTAAAGGAAACACTCCATCACTTTGATTTAATAACATGGAGCCAACTCTGTCACTTTAGGAATGCATCTAATCCTCTGTTATCCACAGCTGGACCTCTAAAGGAGCTTTAAATTCAACTGTTTTTGTTAGAAACCTGTTGTGTCTCTCTGCTACTAAAAGTTATAATTAAAACAGGTCTCTTGGGTGGAGGCTGGTTAACATTTAGTGTTATATTGTTTCATAAATCACACTGGATGGAAGCCACTACAAGGTGCATCCAAATCGCTGCACCTGCACATTGGTTTTGTAGATTCCTTTTAATGGATGTTATGAAAGTTAATGCTGCTATACCAAAGTTTGAGTTCAAACTTCAACATCTCACCAAATAAGTCTGAAACAAATCAAATCAAAACTTGTAGATAAGATTGGTACTTGGTCAGGCCGCATCTCCAGTAGAAAACAGCCTCCTTTAATCTTTTCAAACCTCAAAGTAAAATCCTTCAGATTTAGGCTTAGACCATGGGCGGTTCTAGACAGTTGCAAACGGGGGCCAGTGCCCCTTTAGATAATGTTCTGGCCCCTGTACTGAAGACATAATACTCAAAGATATTCCAATGATGATATGCGCTGGAACAGACATGGTTACTGAAAGGTCCTTTGGATCTATTTCATTTTTCTTCTTTACATATTCTGTTTTACTAATTATTTAAAAACAATAAGGTGATAGCTTCAGTGGTATTGAGATAGGATTCCAGTTTTCATCTGCAAAATGTTTTTTTTTTTTCTCAAAACAAATTGCTCTAATTTTCACGGCTGAATTCATCAGTTTTTCATGAGTTCTAATTCAGATCAAAAAATATGTAAAATTCCTAAATTATGAATGTATATTGACCTAAAAATAAAATAATTTTAATTAAATCTAATTGAATAGAAATTTCACTTCATGCAGTTATATTAATATACTTGAATCCCTTGCCCTGTTTTTTTATTTCATACTTTTGTGGGCCCCCATGAAATCGCGCTGGGCCCCTCCTGGCCCCCAGGAACACACTGGTCTAGAAAAGCCACTGATTTTATTTTGTCATTTTTTTACACACAAGTGTCTAGACTTTTTCATTTTTTAATGTGCAGCCATGTAAGCAGCAGTGATAAAAACATTGTGATGAAAGAAAAAAAGTGATTTATAGTTACAGTTCAAACATTCTGTGTTTGTTTTTTAAGCCATTTTATATCAAATTTAGCAGTCTAATGGCAGTGGAGAAGAAACTGTTTTGGAATCTGCTAGACGAAATGAAGTAAATGAGCAGCATCTGTTAAAACTTCCTTTAAATGTCACCAGTTTTTTATACAACAGATAACTTGGGTGGTAGGATGATGTCATCATGTCCCTGAATGGAGTTTGGTAGGAGTTGTTTTTGTTTTTGTTAAGAGAAGATAAACATTGACCCCAGAGTAAATGGTGCAGAAACTTGTAAAAGATAAAACTGTCTCATCAAAAAAAAAAAAAACACCTTGAGAACAAACCCAAGAGATGCTCATAGAACCTTTGTTCCTTTTTCCTCTTTAGATGAAATGATATGATTCCAGGATGCTCTCTGACTTCACAAGAATGCTTTTATGACTCACTTAGTGACTCATTCGGCATTAAATCCCTATTTTTCTGTGACTTTAAAGACTAGTAAAGGACATCCCCACTTTACAAATGTTTACCTCAAAAGTCCCGCCTTATAAGGTCTACAGAAAGATTTACTGAAAGTAAAGCAAATATCCCCATAAACCAAACCTGCAGTATCTGCGGCGAGCCAAACTGACCACACAGGGAAGAGAAACAGCAGAAGTATAAGTTTTACTGTAAAACTTTTTATCATTTTTTTTGTAAGTAAAACAGCAAATAACGGCTATTTTTTTTTTGCAGGTATCAATAAGTTAACAGGTGATGATGTAATTCTAGTTGAAGATAAATAATATTACCTGATAACACTTGGTCTGACATCTGTCAATCCTCTCCAGTTGACTGATTCCTTTGGCAGCTCCATTAAAGCAACAGCAGGAAAGCAGCAATAAAAGCCAGGGGATCATATTTTATGACTTCTACTACTGCCGCTCCTTAACCCTGTCAGACTGAGATTCAAAGCCGAGGTCTGTGCTGCTAGTCTGACAGGGAGCTGGATGGGAATTACAAATAAACTGGAGAGGCGGAGCCAGGGCATTTGAACAGGAGGTGCTTTCAATGTTTTATTTTTTATTTTTTTGGATAAAGGACCTTTTGACCCATTTAAAACACAACAAAAACAAATAAGTAAATTAATCAAGATTCACTACTTTATTGTAATATACACTTCAGTGCACACAACCAGTGTCTGTAACACACAGACATCATCAGTTTTCAGGTTATTAAATGAACTGTCAATCAAACTTCACAATAACACTATAACAATGTTGACTAGGTCAGCTGGAATGAACCTGAGTCACTTTTTATTGTGTCACACCTGACTATTAAAATCCAAAATCCTTAATAATTCTATTATTACACTATTTGAAAGTTATCACAGTTCTCCACAGCCATTACAGAAAGAACACAAGATCAAAATATCATTCTAACATACTATGGTTAGGTTAAACTGCACAACTAGATATGAAATCGCGCGGCGACACCATGGACTTTCTTTGAGCTACCGTGGGTGCCATGGTTACAGGTAGCCAAATATTCAGGTGTGCTCTGAGGTTGTGGAGATAAATGTCTCTCACAAGCAGATGAACCCGAAATGCATTCCAGTGCCATATTTCCTCTTCGTTTCTGTCATTAGACTGTAAATTCACTAGTCTTTCTGCCGTGAGCGGAATACCACTCTCTAGTTTGTTTGACGTTGCCATGACAATGTAACTCCCATCACCTTGTGTTGCTTAGGCCTTAAAATAATTAAATTCAAATCCAAATACATCTAATAGAACAAAAAACAGGCAAAATCCTTTCCCAAAATATTCATAAGAAATGTATAAATTGTGAAAAGTATTTCCTTTTTTTTTTTTTTTTATCCCCGTCTCACCACTAGGTGGTGCTGCAGCACCCCCATTTCCCGTGGCCATGGGCGGAGCTCTACTTTAGACGCGACTGTAGCCTATTCAACAGGGAATTCATGGAAATAAAGACTCCCCTCAGTTCATCTGGGTGATGCCACGATAATGCTAGAGCCAACGCTGTTACACCAGAGATCTTCAACAGGAGGTCCGCGACCCCTAGGGGGTCCGCAGAGGTACTGCATGGGGGTTGCGAAGTTTTGGTTAATTAGACTTATATTCCCCCCTGCAATATTTTCCACTAATTGAAATGTCTTTAAATCTACATTAACATGAATTCAACACACTGTAGTAAACAGATAAATGGAGGCAGAAGATGTCTTTCAGTCATCAATGCAGATCTGCGTTTCTGAGTAAAAAATAAGTCAAATATCTGACAAAAGAGTGGAAATTAGAAGATTATATAAAAAATGTTTTGTTATTGTTGTTCCAATAAGTTTAATAGTAAGAACAGAAACATGATTTTTTTTTAGTTCTTCAAAAAGTCAGAGAAAGAATATCAAGATTTGACGCATAAAATATCTAAAAAACATGACCTATATTTTCAGATAATCTTCAACATAAATGACAAATGAACCAGAGAAAAGAGGTCAAACAGGTATAGGATAGCTGTAACCTAAACCTTTTTTTTTTATATTCCCCCTGCAATTTTTTCCACTAATTGAAATATCTTCAAATCCACATTAACATGAATTCAACACACTGTAGTAAACAGATAAATGGAGGCAGAAGATGTCTTTCAGTCATCAATGCACACATTCAGCGACACACAGGAGCTCTTTCAAGCTGGGCACCGTTTCATTCACAACACCTGTCCTATCAACCAGGAATCAGAATCAGAAATACTTTAATAATCCCAGGGCAACATTAGTTCCATTACATGACTCCATCTGTAATAGAGTGACTATAGAACCAGTTTGATATGACATAATTTCATACAATATATAAAATTAGGGGGTCCCCGCTCCATCTTGCCATCAGTTTGGGGGTCCTTAGCCTGGAAAACGTTGAAGACCCCTGATCTACACCTGTTAAACATGTTCAACAGTTTTACGACAACTGTAGGAGAGGAATATGTGTGCAGTAAATTGTCAAAGTAATCCCTGAGACACTTTAAGACATCCATATATTCTGTTTATGAGCAAAGCAAAGTTGGGTTTTGGGTAATTTGTCCTTTAACTGCTTGCAGCAGAGGTATGGTATTTGCTGTACCACAGGATCCAATATGTCCACCTGATTAGATTTTAAAACCACCTTACGTGCCTTCTAACAACTTCAAATTCTCATGAGCCTTTTAAAGCTTCCTTATACACACTTCCCTCAATAGTTGACAATGCATTATGTCCTGACTCCCTTACAAAACCTGTATTTTTTTCTTCCTCCATGACCTACTACTTCAGAGAAGACAAGACGACTTAGTCCTCACATGAACCTAATACTGGGAAGGAAATACTATGACAAATTGCACTCTAAAAAAAATTTCACATTAGTCTGGTTAATGGATGGTTACGTTGTCAGTTTAGTAAAAAAAAATATATGGGTCATCGTTTCAGGCTGTCACATTATTTAGTTATATGTAGATGTGTTTGTGTGTTTAAATTTAGCTAAAAGGTGCGTCATCATAAAGGCCTTTAAGGGTTGATGATCTTGTTAGTAATTCCTCTGCATATTCAAGCCTAGAGGTGCAAAAAAGGGCAAAGACACAATCCAGACACAATTGTGTCTACTAAATGGGACAAAAGTAAATGTATTAAAGTTTGGGAGGGAGAAGGAAAATACAGCTGGTCATCTACTTGTCAGAATGAACAGAAGAAGACAAGATGTACCAATATTTATGTGGCACACAGCCCAAAACCCAAGATAACACTGGCAACAATGACTCTAGACAGGAAAGATAATATCTTACTACAGTGTTTCGTAGAAGAGCATTGAAGGTTTGAAATATTTCCCGGAAACACACTGTGAAAACCCCTTTTCTGTCCTGAACAGGTAAGTACATTCAACTGCACATTCATTCACCTTTATGTTAGGGCACTCTCTACTGGGGTTTTCTGCACACTGCATTCTATTAAAGTATAGTATGCTACTTTAAACTTTTTTGCACTAAAGTACAGATGTCAGTGAAAGCAATTTAGCTTGTTTTAAGCCCGAAGCTCTTTTGCTTCAACATATTAAATTAAAAAATTATAATTATTTAAATCTAGAATACATCTACAGCAATGAAAAAAAATAGTTTTTGGGGTTTTGGGGCCATTTTGTTGTTGTTGTTGTTGTTGTTGTTGTATTCGTCAGTTAATAAATAGGGTAACCGAGAGGTGCAAACGCACTACAAAAAATTAATAAACTGTAAATGCAAAAAAGTATTTCAAAAACTAGGCTAACAAACACACAAAGAAAAACAAATGCAAAATATTTGTGATGCAAAAAAAGTAAATGTTGCAATCACAGAATTTGGACAGGAGGAAAGTGTAAATGCCCTACACATACTGTACATGGCACATAAATGATACAAACACAGTCACACAAATCCCATGCAAATGGACTGGCAGTTTTGGCTCTGCAAGAGGTAAAAACTATTGAAAAGTAATAAAAATGTTAAGCATCCGCCCTCAATGTGTGAAGATATGGGTGAATGAGCTCTTGAAAATGTGCTAATAAGAATACAGGCCATTTACCAAATGTCCTCTGGGTGAGTGTTCCATTTATGTCTTTACTAAGGATTTAACCCACTTATATTTAAGTCTATGTTTCAATGAGTTTATTAGTGATGGGACCAGACCAAAACATCCATATCCAATATTCAGTTGCAAGATCCAGTTGCTTAGGATGATTTTGAATTTTCTCTCTGATGTCCCACAGTCTGTGTAGTCAAATTAGTCCGACTCAGAATGGGCCCTGTAATACGACCTATTATAGCATTATGATTAATTGGCTGAGGGATTGTGTGGGAATGACAGGTCAGGTGTTGGAGCGTTTTACCTCCTACTTGGCTGGTACGTGTTTCAGTGTGTCAGTGTGAATGATAGGAAGTCTGGGCGAGCAGATGTACTGTGTGGTGTTCCACAAGGTTCAGTTTTGGGACCACTTCTGTTCTTGCTATATGTTCTTCCTCTTGGCCAGATAATGCAGCAGTACTTTGATGTGCTGTATCATCTTTTCACTGATGACATACAATGGTATTACACCTTTAAAACCACTGAGGTCTACAGACTCCACTGTCTGATTAACTGTCAGTCCCAGATAAAGCAGTGGAAATGAAACCGACTTCTAAATAGAAAGATATGCTCATTATGCCCCTGATAGGGCTATCCCCGACTTCAAACAGTACCTGGTTGATCTGAGTTCCTCTGCCAAATCAAGTCTTTGTCACCTTTGAGGGATTTTTGATGAGAGGATGTCGGCAGCATATCTGCCGACAGAGGGGTGAAATCAGGTGAGTTGTTGCGGGCTCGGAGTATTTTTATGCCACTTCAAAGACTAGTAAAGGACATCCCCACTTTACAAATGTTTACCTCAAAAGTCCCGCCTATACAGAACTCTACAGAAAGATTTACTGAAGGTATAGCAAATATCCCCATTAACCAAACCTGCAGTATCTACCTTCACAGGATTCATATGTAAATTTAATTTCACAAAATTAATATCTAAACCTAAAGAACCCTACTGAGAAGTACATATCAGCATCCCCTTGAGTTACAATATATGACAGGTCATATATGGTTGTAACAGCCACAACCTGACATTCCTTCTGTGTGGTTATGCTGCTTAGGCAGCATCTTTAAATTTTATCAAACTGCTATACATATGGCTTGCTGTGCTTCAAGTGGAATCGGGAAAATACAGAATATTTTCCCGATTCCACTTGAAGGAACCTAAATTTTGCCCTGCGTCCTGGATCAGGCATCACTTTAATATAGAGACAATATGGCGGCTCACATTGGAAGAATGCACCTCAAGCCGCAGGAACGGCTTAACTTTGTATTGTTCTCACCTGCAGAAAGCTTGTAACACCCTGATGACGCAAAGATTCAGTAGTTTCGGTCAAGAATTTGTCTATCTTTACGAGAAGAAGTTAGAATTAAGACCGGACCGACAGGTATTGTTAATGTTAAAAAGTCACAATGTCTTGAATTTTGACTGACATGACTAGAAGGGGCATCCAGTGTTGCTTCGGGCAGGTGCTGCTGCAGTGAGGCGAGACTAAAAAGACAATTCTGCTTTTCAGACTCAACTGTTTAAGATTTCAACCACAAGATTTTTTGTTCAAATCTACACGTCAGACAAGCAAAATTCTATAAATGTGATGAATTGCAATTGGAGCATGTATGGACAGCCACATAAACAATAAAATGAAAAGTGGCAAGACCTTTATTTGTACATGTAAAAATTTTACTTGGAATTTATATACTTTTTATCCTAAATAAATAAACTTTTTTTTTTAAATGTACTTACATATTTATTAAATACACATTGTTCTTGTTACATAAAAGGTAAATTTATATATATATATATATATATATATATATATATATATTGGTGTTGCACTGATTCCATTTTTCGGCCCCGATACAGATACCCAAAACCTGGCTGCGCAATATTGGCTGATCCAATACCATACCGATAGCATCTGTTTGAAATTGATGTGTGTATAAATGAAGAACTGCATCCTACTTTGATGCAAAATAATTCCCATCATGGCTTTGTCAAGCTGCTGCCAAATATCCATCTTGTTGAAGACAAAACCTTACCTTGAAGAACCTGATCTGTCAATCTTCTCCAGCTGAGTACTTTCTGGTGCCGCTTCACTGAAGCAACAGTAGGACACAAGCAGAGCAATCCAGTGATCATATTTCACAGCCCTCTAATGCTGCTGCTCCTTTTTATCTACTTTACCCCGTCAGACTGAGATCCACAGCCAATGTCTGTGCTGCTAGTCTGTCAGGCTGCTAAATGGGAATATATGTAAGCTAGAGAGGTGGAGCTCTGCTTCAGGTGCAACCGTAACCTGTTTAAGGTCTGCATCTAGACCCGCCCCAGTCGCTATGGAGGCACAAAAGGTAGGAAAGGAAAACTGCTTAATTTGTATAAGTAAGGATGTTTTGTCAGGGGCTCCAGCTATCCCCTAAGAAAATACAAGTTAATTAACACAACACTCACCTTTTTACTTCTAAAAAGTTAGCAAGCACTTAATCTCACACTTAGACTGAACAGACTATTTACTTTTTTTTTGTAGGCCTGAAATCCAGAGCAAGGTAAGGTCTGGAAGTCTGAAAGGTATCAGGTATCTGTACAAAGAAAGGAAGCAGGGCTCATGATAGATTTTTTAGACAAAGCCTTGTCAGACATTAGTTTTTTTTTTTTTTCCTTTATTTATTTGATCATCTCTACCAGACATCCTGGTCAGCTGCCCCAGTCTCTCTGTTAAACACAATGAGTACTTCACATCCAGGTAAATCAAGGACTAATAGAACAATTAAGGCCTATTTTTAAACTAGTACAACCTACTATCCTGAATTTATATTTTTTTTTTATTTCTGGTTCCAGTTTTTTTTTTTAAAAAGAAAAATTTATACTTTTTTTTTATTCTGACATTTTGAAATGTCAATTCAACTTTCAATTCAGTTTATTTATATAGCGCCAATTCACAACACATGTCATCTCAAGGCCACTTTACAACTCACCAGATAATACAAATTGATTAAAAGTTTTCAATCTAAGAAAAACCTGTTTATTGCATTGACTCGGATGCAATCCCTCACACTATGCATGCTTGTAGCAACAGTGGAGAGGGAAAAAAATCCCTTTTAACAGGAAGAAACCTCCAGAAGAACCAGGCTCAGTGTGAGCGGCCATCTGCCGACGCCGACGGGTTAAAGGAGACAGAAGCAGAGATAAAAAAAGCAGCTGTAAAAGGCAAAACACACAGGCAGGCAGATGAGCTCTGAGCCAGCTCCCATGTCAGAGGATGAAGAGAGCACATCCAGCCAGTCACAGTCAGAGAAACAGGACACTGGAAAAACAGGCCGATCTCCAATATCTATAAACAAAGGTGTTGATGGCAGCAGCACAGTTGATATTTCTCTCCAGGATGGTAAATTGAGTAAATAAATTGAGTTGTCCAAAGGCAACTCACATTTTCAGGGTGCAGGGTTCAAATAATGAAGAAAAAAATAATGAATAAATAAAACATAAATACGCAGTGATTGCCCATGCCTATGATGCAATAAGCTATATTTTTAGATCACCCTATGCATGACAGCAATTTTCAAACCCATGCAACTGTGCATTGTGGGAGTCCTCTCAGCTCTCATAGTATGGAGAATGTCTGAGCTCACTGACATCTTCATCGTAGGTAGCCATCTTTGTTGTGACTGTGGCCGGTGGCTGCTAACCAACCAACGGGAAGAAGTTGAGCCCTTAAGAAACGACCCTTCCTCCTTTGCATAATGAGGCAGAAGTGCATACAGAAACGTAAAATCGACAGGCAGAAAAAAATACAAAATAAAAAAAAATACAAAGAATAAACCAGAAAAAAATATAACATGCACATGAATACTTAAATAGGTAATAAATAAAGTTGAACAAACAAACAAAGAAGCTAATATATATATCTCATTGTATCATTTGTTTACTGTATTTTGAGGGGGCAATTAATTGTATGCTTATTTATTTTGTAGCATTTATTTATTTTTGTATTTATTTCTTAATTAAGGCAGGATTGGACCTCCATATCATAGGCTGTGAGGGACAGATTTACCTTTAACCTGCAGTGAAGATCTTAAGCCGCTCACTGCACTGCAAAAAATAACCATTAGGCCTAACCCCATGGAGGATTCAAAGTCCTTTTAAATCCCACTGCTTATAGGTACAATATAGATTGTATTTTATTATTAATAATAATCTAAATATTGTGGAGCTATTAATATTTGATGTAAAATGCAGTGTGTGTTTTTGCATGCAGTTTCTGCATAGAGCAGACTTTTTCTTTTTTGCAGTGGTTTCTATTGTGCGTCACGTGACCCTCTAATCTGCACTGTATTTCCGCGTTCACGCTGCAATCAATGACTGTTTATGGAGGCGCTCCAGCATCATCGGTGGTGTTATTATATCCCTGTCTTCTCCTCTGAATCAATGAGACCTTAACCTCCATCCCCTCCGCATCCTCCGACGCTTCCTTTCCAGTCCTGTCGTCGAGCTGGGGGGGAATCCGGGGAAAGGGAGCCGCGGTGCCGCGCATCGGCCGACGGACGCACCGGCGCGCCGCGGCGGCAACAACAACATGATCACCCGGGTAAAGTCGGCCGTTGCCGGGTTCATGGGTGGGATCGTGACCGGGGGAAGCTCCGGTGGGGGCGGGAATCCGTCTTCGGAATTGCCGCTGAAGTTCCCATATATGAGACCGGAGTTCCTGGGACTGTCCGCGGATGAGATCGAGTGCTCTGCGGACCACGTAGCGCGGCCCATCCTGATCCTGAAGGAAACCAGGAGATTACCGTGGGCCACCGGCTACGCTGAGTGAGTAAAAACAGCTCCTGTTTTCTTTCAATCTAACTGGACATCAGCTGTTCTCTGGAGTTGCACCTGTTGTCACACACATCCATCCATCCTGCAGCCTTTTTCACCTACAGCATCCAAAGGATCTCCGCCCTCACTGGATAAAAGCTGGTTTTCACCTGTTAGAGGCAGGGACGGAGCTAGATCGGGGGCCATGGCCACCCTTAGCCAATCTACCATCCCCCCTCTAATAAAGATGGTGGCAACAGTAATACTCTCAAGTGGAATATTCTAAATATTTTATTTTTTGTGGTTATTTATGCACATCTATATACTAACATCAAAGATGATAAGTATGGAATTCATGCTCTTTTCAGAACTAGATTTTGTGTTATATGGGGCAAAGAGAAAAATATGTGTCTCTGCAAGTGTAACACACCGAACGTAGCAGGAGCAGGGAGTTTACATGCAAAGTCAATGGTTGACACGCGTCAAGGCGCTGCAAAATGTCCCGCAGCGCGTTTTGAGCAGCTGAAGCAGCGTGTCGGGAGCGTTTGAGCATCTGACGCGCAGCAAACGCGCTGCTGCTCGAGATGGAAAAATTGAACTTCTGGGAGCTGGAAGGGAGAAAGACACATCGCTGATGGTACAGAGCGCTATGATCACTCCTCTGAAAGCTTATTAATGCCTGTCAAGTTTTTGGCCTCTACAAACCACCTTGCCTTCTGCCCAAACTTGAAAAGGGCTTGCTCCCATCA